TTACTATACTTTCTGTTAAACAGCAAAACATTGTTGAAAATATAAGAAAATATAAAAACGCTACGAACTTCTTCCCCAACCTAATAAATTAAACAAGCAAAGAGAAAAAGGAGATGCCTCCTCTACTGAATTTTTAAATTTCATTGCCTCAACTTGTACTATCCTTCGCGAATAATCTTTCAAGGCAGTGTTTGGGCAAAACTAAAGAATTGAATTCTTGCAGATAATGATAGCTCTATCCAAGCTATTACCCAAATTTAGGCAGATAATTCGCCGTGGTAAGCGAGAAAATTGCTTCAGATGCTTAGGTCATTCCGCCCCTTTCACTTCACTCCTCTCCCAGTGATTTCCCCCTCGATACCGCTTGTGTCTCTCTTCTCAGAAGCAGTCCTTCTCAGCGAGAAAGGCATGCAATCTGGGACCACTATTCAAAAATTTAGTCACCCGTCTACCACTCGTCCCTGTTTACCTGGAAAAAGGTCCAGAATTTCTGTTTATTTTGGTAGTTTAACGGTAATTGAAGTTGCTATTCATATTCCAATTGGTCCAGCAAAGTGGAAAACCCGATGTCGGCATATCGCTCAGCCACTGCTTTTGATAGAATTGCAAAGTTAAAACCCAGATAGACCGTGCTGTCCGTTCAACAGCGCTCTAAGGTCAAGTACACGAAATGAAGAACAAAAACTCACATATCACGGCGGCAGGAATGTTACGCTGAACATGGGGTATCACCCTGTTAGATGATTTCTGCAATGATCGAGTGGGGTGATACCCATAGTATGAGCTAAGATGAAAGCTTTCAATGCCAAGGGGGTGCAGGAAAGACGAGTGCGATGGTACGGGCATGTGAGTAGAAGAGATGAAATCCATATCACAAAAACGGCGATGTGCTAGAGGTCATTGAGCAAAGATCACGGTGAAGACCAAGGATGAGCTCGATGGATGGATTCAAGGGCGACTTGAGGATTTAGGATAGATGAGCATAATTTTCCTTGTTACTAGATGTCAAAAATCGTCTCGCATCTTGTTAGTCCATGGAAGATACTTATAAAAAGCATATTCTGAGCTAAAGACCGTCATACTTGGATCAAATAGTTTCTAAACAAGTAATCCTTTGCACAGTAATTCATAATCATGATTACTCTTAGTTTTTTTGCAACTTCTTAACTACTGTTGAAGCTATCAAAACAGTCACATATCTTTAGTTCAGCCCGAAACCAGTTATGTGGCAAAAATTTGTCAGCGTGTACATATGAACGTTAAAATTCTGTAACATGAATTTTGGAAAAAAACGTCCTTTCTCAAAATGTCACAAAGTGAAATATGTACTTTATGTTCATTTATGTCTTACCTATTATCAATATTCGAAAGATTTGATTTTTCTATTAGAAAAGACCAGTAAGTTAAACTACATGCTTAATTTTTGAACCAAGACCCTCCCCCTCCCAATACTCCCCCTTTCTCTTCCTCAAACCTCGATCAACATCTCCTTTGAGGCTTACGAGAGATAAGTAGAAGTGGAAAAAAACAGTAAGACGTTGAAATATCTGCTTATATACACACATGTATCTAATAGGGCTAATATTGATAAACCTTATCTACGTACTCCCTCCTTTTTTTTCCTTCCCTCTGTCAACATTCCCTATCTTTCAGAAAGTGCAGAGCTCAGTGTGACCTCTCGCCTGAAAGCGTTCTTGGTCCGCTTTTGCCAACTGTAATGAATATGAGTTTTCTTACTTATTTATTGCAAACTTTGAAGCTCAAAAGTACAAGCAGATCATATAGAACAAACTAAGTGAAGAAAAACCGTTAATTAACGGTTACGCTGGAAATGTTGACGATAGAAATAGAAATGGGAACAAAAATTTTGCCAACGACTTCTTTCGTAGAGATTACAAAGCGTCATCCGTGGGTTGAGATAAAAACAAAGGCAAGAAATAAACGTAATACAATGCATCACAAAATGAATATGTGAATAAGGAGGCATCAATCAGTAAAGCACCCGGAAAAAAAGAGAAAGTGACCATTTGCGTTCCCATTTCCTTATATAATCATAAAAGATCCAAATGGCGATCACTAAATGGTCATTGTTTGCAGAAGAGAGTCAATGGCTATGGAACTGTCAAAACCATTTCTTATAGATAAATGACAAATCAGAAAACATTCGTATGCTTCAAATGGGCTAACAAGAGAAGGATTTTTAGTGGCCGTGGCCGTTCAGAATGAGATGTATATCAGAAGATTAGTCTTAGGACACAAGTCTCAAATATTCCTTCCTTAACTGCTAAACGATTCTTATAAGGCAGTTATGAACCGACAAAGTTCAACAAGGTGGTTTGTAAGAACTTCGATAACACCTTGCTCTACCAAGGGTGTGGTGTAGTGGTAAGTGTGCTGTCTGTCAGGTAAGTCATGCGGGTTCAATTCCTCTATGGGGCAAGATTTTGCATTTTTTTCTT